GTAGGAAAAGGTAAAGGTCGTGTCAAGGCTATCGACTCACCTCCTCAGCCAGTGGGTGGAATAGCCAAAGAGGTATCGGTGAAGCTTGGCCCTTACGAAGGAAAATGCAACCTACGAGTGGTGATCATAAATGACTTCGAATTGATAGTTGGGTTGGAATTACTAAGGCAAACCAACACCATGCCCGTACCATATGCAGACATGCTACTGATGATGGGAACAAATGGGTCCAAGCCCTTCATTATCCTATGCATGCCCATGAAGATGGCCGTTGAGAACATCTCGGCCTTACAGTTAAAGAAGGGGGTCAAAAGACATGACCCTACGTTCCTGTCAACCCTCTGCATTGAAGATATAGAACGCTCCTCGGGTCCCATTCCTCAACCCGTGAAGGAGCTACTACTGGAGTTTGAAGATGTCATGCCACAAGACATGCCAAAGCGACTCCCACCTAGGCGCACTGTGGACCATGAAATTGAGTTGGTGCCGGGCGCGATGCCACCCGCCCGGGCGCCTTACAGAATGTCACAACCCGAACTCACCTAGCTTCAGAGACAATTGACGGAAATGCTAGATACATGGATCATTGTGCGCTCCAAGTCCCCATACGGGTCCCCTGTTCTATTCCAAAAGAAACATGATGGCAGCATGCGACTCTGTGTGGATTATCGGGCTCTTAACAAAATCACAGTGAAGAACAAGTACCCTATTCCGCTAATGGCAGACTTGTTTGATAGACTGGGTGGTGCGACGGTGTTCACTAAGATAGACCTGAAGACAGGTTATTGGCAAGTTCGGATTGCAGAAGGTGATGAACACAAGACGACCTGTGTGACAAGATATGGGTCGTATGACTTCCTGGTTATGCCGTTCGGCTTGACTAACGCCCCAACTACATTTTGCACCCTGATGAACCAAGTCTTCTGAGAGTACATTGACGAATTCGTGGTGGTCTACTTGGATAACATTGTGGTATATAGCCAAACATTGGAAAAACACCTGGTGCACTTGCTGAAGGTCCTAGCTCGATTGCGGGAGCATGAACTATATGCGAAGCTATCCAAGTGCTCCTTTGCTCAAAAGCAAATTGACTTCCTCGGACATGTCATCGAGGAAGGGCGGATCAAGATGGACCAATAGAAGATTTAGGCAATCACAGATTGGCCGCCGCCTAAGGACACGCCTTGAGGCTTGGCCTATGCAACTTCTACCGGCGATTTGTGAAAAACTACTCCCTCATTGCAGTGCCATTAAGAGAACTCCTCAAGAAGGTCACGCCCTGGGATTGGGGACCCAGGCGAGCGGAGGCCTTCAACGCATTAAAAGCGGCTATGTCTAGTAGCCCAGTCTTGGCCCTCCTGATTTGGCCAAGCCATTCGAGGTACAAACGGATGCATCCGACTATGCCCTCGGCGGAGTCTTGCTACAAGAAGGGCATCCTGTAGCGTACAAGAGTCGGAAGCTGAAGGATGCAGAGCAGCGCTATGCCGCCCATGAGAAAGAGTTATTGGCTGTCGTCCACTGCTTGCGCCTTTAGAGGCACTATCTGCTGTGGACCCCGTTCGTGGTCAAGACAGACAACACAGCTGTTAGCCATTTCATGACCCTGCCGAAGCTGAATGGTCGACAGGCCAGGTGGCAGGAACTCCTAGCTAAATTCCACTTCAACCTGGAGTACCGAAGTGGGAAAACCAATCATGTTGCTGATGCGCTCAGTCGGAGAGCTGATCTAGCATCGGTGTGCCTACTCGCCACCCTAAGGGAGAGCGAAGTAGCCACCTCCAACAAGGACCAGGTACAGGATCTACTCATCAAGGATCATGCTGCATAGTATTTGGTTGATTTGGTAGGATAGGGCAAGACTCGCCAGTTCTACATGGAAGATGGTTTTCTGAAAGTGAAAGGGAACCGACTTTATGTTCCTAAAGGAGGAGATCTGCGAAGGACTCTTCTGGCGGAATGTCATGGTACTCTGTGGGCCGGCCATCCCGGTGAAGAACGCACTATAGCGTTACTTTGCCGTGCATATTATTGGCCTCAAATGGCCGATAACGTCACTCGGTATGTGAAGACTTGTCTAGTATGCCAGAAGGACAAGTCGGACCGCTTGACACAAGCGAGACTCTTGGAACCTCTAGCTGTCCCAAAGAGACCTTGGGAAAGCGTTTCCCTGGATTTCATCACCGGATTGCCCAAGGTCGGAGATCTCACAACTATCTTGGTTGTGGTGGATCGGTTTTCCCAGTATGCTACCCTTATTGCAGCCCCACAATATATATCAGCAGAAGATACAACTCGACTCTTCTTCTCTCATGTCGTCAAATATTGGGGCCTGCCCAAAGACATTGTTAGTGACCGCGACTCACGCTTCACTAGCAACTTTTGGACCCAACTCTTCAAGTGCCTTGGGTCAAAATTGAGTCACAGCTCAAGTTTTCATCCGCAATCTGATGGCCAGACGGAGCGGTTCAATGGTATGTTGGAGGAATATCTCCGCCACTTTGTAACCGGATCGCAGAAGAATTGGGTGAAGCTTCTGGATGCTGCTCAATTGTGTTTCAATTCACAAAAGAGCTCTAGTACCAACAAAAGCGCTTTTGAAATTGTTACCGGACAGCAACCGCTACTCCCACACACTGTGAATGCACCAAACATGGCTAAATCTCCTCGAGCTGCCAGCTTCTCAAAAGAGTGGAGGCGGAATTTGGAGATAGTGCAGAGCTAACTTGTCAAAGCCCAAAAGCGGATGAAGAGGCATGCTGATCAGAATCGTCGCTTTGTTGAATATCAAGTAGGAGACAAAGTGATGGTCAAAATTCCAAAGCGGTACTTATTTGCAGGGGTCCATGACCCTCGCCTATTGCAAAAATACATTGGACCCTTGTCCATTGAAAAGCATATTGGGAAGGTTGCATACCGGGTGGATACCCCAGCTTGGTGGAAAATTCATCCTGTCTTCCATGTCAGTCTCCTGAAACCTTTTCGGGAAGACACGGAGGATCCTTTAAGGAGCCAACTCACAATACCCAGTATTCGAGGTCCCAATTCAACCGGGAAAAGGCGTGTTGAAGCTATCCTTGATGACAGAGTGATTCATGCCTCAAGGAAAGATCACCAAGAGTTTTTGGTGAAATGGCAGGGCTGTGATGCAGAAGAGAATACTTGGGAGAGGGGAACAAACCTCAAAGCCTACAAGAGCCTCATTGAAGATTATTTTGCAAGTAAGGCGCCGAGGACGTCGCCAACTCAGGTGGGGGAGAATGTCATGGGCGGCTTTCCAGCCATGCCCCATGACCCCTTGGGCGCGTCCCGTGGCGTCCTAGCGAACCTCCCAATGCCTAGCGCCACGGACGGCCCCGTGGTCTTGGCCGCGCCAAGTGACAAGCGCGCAGGTGCCTCTGTCGCCCCACCGATATCCCTCGCGAGCGCCAAGCCGCAGGCAGAAGCCAACAGCGCCGCGCGCGCAGACAACGCCGCTCGCGCAGACCGTGATGCCAAAGACACTGCTGCTGACAACGGACCTGCTGTTGCCTTATAGAAAACTAAGTCATTTTCATTGTAAATATAGAGTAGTTTTATTTCATATACTTCCATTATGTTTCTCTAGCTTAGTCAAGTCTAGTCTTGTAACTTTGGATTATTTTTTTTAAGTACTATTAGGGGGGATCAAGCAATTAAAACTTTCTAGCAAGCAAGCAATTCTCTGTACTGGTGTCTCTCCCCCTCGACACCGCGTTGCTTTTCTGTAATAGCTTTCATTAATACAATCAAGCTTTCTTTCATTCTGAATTCTCACTTCTGTTCTCTCAATTGCTCTTGACATTGGTTTTCCCGTACGGCACTAACAATCTCGTCTAGCGTACGGAGGGGACCTCAGTTGGCGGACAGCAACTGCACTGACATCAGTTGCCTAGCCTTACGTCGCCCTTCCAAGGAATCTCAGGAAGGCACCGGGTAACAGCTTGGATGAGCCAACATTGACACACAACTACTTGAATGGAACAGTGAGGAAACAACTTCCTACTTGAGAGTACTTATGAAAGTTAGAACTGTTTGCATAAGCGTGAGCACGAGGAGGAACACGGCTGCTGCAGTTGAAAGTCCCACCCAAGGTCCATTAAAGTAATTGTGCCTCAAATTTGCCATCCTTCTATTCCATCTTTTATTACAATGCTCAACCACATTTTTGCATTCTTCTTTGTAATAGAAGTTAGTAGGAGGGATGACTCCATCGCCAAGTTTGTTAAAGATGCTAGCCACATCACTGTCGTCGCCTATCCGGTTCCTGATGATTCCCTTCAACCGTAGCAACTTCACATCTTCAGCTGAGTTGATAAGACGATCCATAAAAATCACGTAATCTGTGAAATATTTAGTGTATACATCAGAAGAATGTTGCTCGCAAGCTACTAGATTCCTCAGGACTGTCTCTGTACCATTAACGACCTCAAAACAAGGGATTTTCATCCTTCCATGATTAAAACAAGGGATTTTCACACTTCCATAATCAAAACAAGGGATTTTCATCCTTCTATAATCAAACTTAATATCGAATAAACTCGTGCTGTCTCCTTCGTTGTCTTCGCCCAACATTCTATAAATTTCACTAACTTTTGAGAAGTTGATTCCGGCTTCATCAAGCTCTGTTGCACTTCTCATGAGGTCGTGCCATAAGTTGGCATCCTTCGGCACTAATTCTAACTCAAATGTTAGAGAATAAGGTTTCTCTGGGCGACCAGTACCACACATGTGTACCACTTGAAGTAAATGTTTGATTCCTTTGACATTACCATTAGCTTCATTTAAGAATTTAGGAGTTACCCTCGGTAAACTACCGCAAAAGTTATATTTTACCATTTTAATAAATGATTCTGTAGGATACTTAGTCATGTCATGAAGCTTGGTGAGGACCAAAAATGGAAGTTGGTTTTCTAGTAGCAACAAATCACGATCTATAAGATTTACCATCCAATCTGCGTTAATAATCCTGTCTTCTCCTTCTGGAAAAATTTTGAAAACCTCCCGCAAATACTCAACCACAAAACAACCATCAAGCAATAACATTTCCAAAAATTGGCTGCAAGTATAACTGCCAAGTTCCACTTTATCATCATAACACTTTAGCACTTCATCTTTCAGTTTCTCCAATTCCCTAATGTAACTCTCCACATCAAACTTCTTATTCCGCTGGAGAAACCGTTGTAGGTAACGTAGTTTATAATTTTCCATTGAACAAAGCTGTGGATTCTTCTTATGGTAAGGACCAATAGAGATCAACAGTGGAGTATAAGCATCTGAATTTGATCTACGTAGCCCCGCATTTACTTTGAATATTGTACAAGATTTGGTAGACCATTTGTTCAAATCCTTAAATCTTTCGTCAAAGATTTCTTTTGCAGATTTATTTGTTTGCAACACTAATTGATCTTGACCATTTATTGTAGCTTCATTTAGAGGAGTTCTATCATGCAGTGGAGTAATCTCAAAGTTGTTCGGCATCCCTCTTAGATAATTTTGTTGAAACTGTATTATTACCCGGGGAGGGGG